CAGGCTATAAGGTTTTGGTTGCAAATATTAACTCTGCTGCTGTAGCCACAAGCAATACACAAAGGAATGAGTGTAGCTGTGTTCCAAAAAAACTTCATTTAAAAAGGACACTGAAACTTAAACTTCAAATAATTTTCATGTGCCACAAAATACCATTCTCCTTTTGATTTTTTCAGCCATTTAAAAATACAAAATCCATTCTTAGCTTACAAGCCACATACAAAAACCAAACCAAATCAAACCAAAACAAAAAGGCAGGCTGGATTTGGTCTATATGCCTCATTTGCTGACTCCTGTAACATATTTAGAATTCTTAAGAATAAGGACCATGCCTTATTCATTTTTTAACTCCAGCACCCAGCAAGTATGGCAATGCATACATATTAAGGATTAAAAATAAAAGTGATGAATGAATGAGAACTAAGATGTATGCTGGGCTTCTGTTTAAATATATATATTTATATATACTTCAATTATATTAAATAATTTAACATTTTCTAATTTACCATAACATGTCATCAGAAATTGCTTGTTAATTATATATACACATTTTTTAATGCTTCTTGATCTTTTATTCTCTTCTAGAATTTATGTGTAAAAAAGGGCTTGACCTCAGTAATATGTCCTTAATTATACTTTTTATGAATAATAAGATTCTTTAAATAACAACTTCAAAAAAATAATTAAAAAAATAAAAATAAGCTCCACTGAGAACTTTTAAAACAACAACAACAACAACAACAAAATAAATAAATAACAATTTCTATTTTGGACATAAGTTGTTTACAACTGATAATGGGACATGATGAGATAATACTTTATACAGCAATGAATTCTTGTTCTTTTAAAAAATGTTTATTTATTTAGTGAGTGGGGGAAGAGCATGTACTCATGCTCACAAGTGGGGGAGTGGCAGAGAGAGAGGAGAGCGAGAGCGAGAGGGAGGGGGTGAGGGAGAGAATCCCAAGCAGGTTCCATGCTACCAGTGCAGAGTCTAACATGGGGCTGAAACTCACAAACCGTGAGATCATGACCTGAGCCAAAACCAAGGGTTGACGCTTTAATTGACTGAGTCACCCGGGCAACCCTGAATTCTTAAGTTCTATGGAATTTTATAATTACTAGCATTCACCAATGCCAACAGATTATCCAACCTTTGTCAGATCAGAGAAAATAAAAATTATTCTTAAAAAATGAAGATTTTCATATCAAAATAAAAGTCTAAAAAGTTGAAGGGAGTAGATTATTATGCTATTATATATAAGCTTTGATAGTATCTCATATTTATTAGAGGCAGGGAGCAGGTCAGCCGGCATGTAAATATCAGATGAATCATATTCTAAGCCACAGGGCCTAAAAATAGAAACAAACTCATAATTTAGGAAAATCAATTCTTATTTCTATATATGAACAAAGGAAACAGGACATACTTTACTGAACGTGCTATTCCACTTTTCTTTTAATATACTTGGGAAGAAACCCAAGTCTATAAACTTTTCATGTTCTCTTGGGTTCATACCCACAGACACTAAGTTTAGATTGCTTTATTTCATTTATCCAGTTTTGGAGGAATCCAGTTTTTTCCCTAACAACACACATATTCCACAAACATTTGTCCTTTGTGTTTGTAGATTAAGCCAATTGTCAATTACTGACTATAAAACATTAGTACCTTAATAGAGAAGTTTTATTATTTTACCTTAATAATTAATATTTGTGTTTTCTATAACTTCTCACTATTTAAAAAGTTTTGCAACTGTAAGCTGTACATAGTTAAATGTAGTCTAGAAATAGTTACTTCATTTTTCAGGTACAACTATCTAAGACATGTTAAAGACAAATAACTGTATTATGACAGAACTCAAATTATATTTATGGATTCCTAGAAGATATCCCTGTGTTGTATTTTAGATATCAGAAGAATGGCAAGTATTAAAGTGTGTAGAGAAAATGGGAAATCAGTAGAACTATTTCTGGTTGGCCTTACATTACTTTCATGTTTGTTTATTTTTCAAAGGCATAACAGTTCTAAGGACTTTGCTGTAGATAATCATACCATATGTATATGTAAAAAAGATATGTAGTAAAGTGAACCTATTAAGAATCAATATATCTACAATCAGCTAAGTTACCTATTCTCAAAAAAAAAAAGATATTAAAAAGCCTTATTTATGTATATTTTTAACTCATTAAAAAAAACCATCCTAATACAGCTCTACACAGGTAGTTGTTATAGGCACATATAAGAATTTAATTTAGGTGCTCTAAGGGGTACCTGGATGACTCACTTGGTTAAGAAACTGACTCTTGATTTTAGCTCAGGTCATGGTCTGACGGTTTGTGAGATTGAGCCCTGATGTGGGTTCTGTGCTGACAGCTGTCAGCTATGAGTCTCTCTCCCTCTCTCTCAGTCCCTTCTCCTGGTCACGCATGCATGTGTGTGCACATGCTCTCTCTCTCTCTCTCTCTCTCTCAAAATAAATAAATATTAAAAAAATATATTTAAAAAACATCTCTAAGATTTTAAGTTAACTAAAAGACTTCATTTAAGGGGCGCCTGAGTGGCTCAGTCGGTTAAGTGTCCGACTTCGGCTCAAGTCATGATCTCGCGGTCCGTGGGTTCGAGCCTCGCGTCGGGCTCTGTGCTGACAGCTCAGAGCCTGGAGCCTGTTTCAGATTCTGTGTCTCCCTCTTTCTCTGACCCTCCCTGTTCATGCTCTCTGTCTCAAAAATAAATAAATGTTAAAAAAAAAAAAAGACTTCATTTAAGGATAAAGGTTTCTTAATTTCGGATATAATGAGACATACAAAGTCAGGGAAAGAGACTCTTGTCAATTAATGGCACTAAAAAAAATGGATGGGATAGACAGATATTAAAATGGTAGAATTTTAAACCTCTATTTCACATGAAGATGAGAAAGATAAAATATGAAGCTTACTATATCAAAATTCAAAAAATAATTTAACAAGATTATAAAGATTTCATCAATACACTTTAAATCTACCATAACACTGTTTTCATCCTTTTGGTAGTTACATACAAAAAAATACTACCAAATTTGTCCACTTAGTGTTTATGTAGCAACTAATAATAATAAAAAAATTAACCCTTATAAGTTAATCCTTGCATATACAGCACTTACTAAAATGCCAGAAACAGTTCTCACTGGATCCTCACAGCTCCCAGTAGGTAGGTACTTTCGTTTACCTCACTTTATAGGAAACTGAGGCACAGAGTAGTTCAGTAATTAGTCTATGGTCACCCTGTTAGTAGCAGAGCCAAAATTCAAAGGTTTACATTTTCAGCCTAGCATTTTGGTATTAACTTGACACTCCACAGAAAACAAAATACTTAACTTTGTGTGCAAAGCATTCCCTCCCAATTAAAAACAATGTTGTTATCTGATATAAATTCTATAGTAACTTTTTTCTGTTTTTTCTGTAATAAAAATAAATAGTATGAAAATCTCAAACCATCACACAAAAAACAGGGACATATAAACCCAAGGCCATTTACTTCAAATACTTAACACAACAAACTCCAAAAATCAAGGTCTTCACATATGTATGTAATTTTCTTACAAACAAAACACAGACACACCTCTATAGGAGATGGCTTCCCTTCAATTGTACTTTTTAAGTTGGTCTCACAGTTTAAAAGAAATGTAAAAATTGGCCAAAGGACCATTTCCCCATAAGATTCAGAAGCTAAACTAATTATGTAAGAATGATTTCTTTTCTGAGCAGTTGAAATTAACAACTTCCCAATATAACTCTATTCTGATTGCTTTAAAAGCAAACCATTTTATTTATAAGTCTAAAATTACAATAATATCCAAAAAATTCTGTCACGATTTTTACATAGACGAACAGTAAATATTTTACACTTTATTTAAAAAAATGTCCATTTTCATATCCTAGAACAGTGGTTTTCAAAGTCTGAAAGTATGGTCTGTAGACCAGCAACATCTGCATCACCTTGTTAGAAATACAAATTCTTGGGACCCACTGCAGATTTACTAAATCAGAAACTCTGTGGGTGGGTACAATAATCTGTTTTGATAAATCCTCAGCTTGAATGTGGTGCAGGCTAAAGTTTGAAAACCACCACAGTAGAGTAAGAAGGACAGTAAATATTTAATAGATGCAGAGTAAAAGTATCTTGCTGTTAAGTAAACAGTAGATAAAATTGTGTTCTGGTTTGAAAATAGAAGGACGTACTTAATATTAAGTTGAAATTCAGCCAACAAACATTTTTTTGGGAGGTAAAGAAAACAATATCACAAGTGGTGATATAAGTTTGCATATGACTCTGAGGTTTATGGCTTCCTTAAAAAGAAAAAAGACTCTCCTGTATCACTGAGCACTGCCTACTCTTCATTTTCTCCCTTAATTTTTCTACTTATGCAAAGGTTTAAGGTGATTCTTGTGGCATAAAGCCTAGATATTAATTCTGCTTTGGCTTATTAAATTCTGCATTTAAATTCATATTAAAATTATGGAATATGTAACCCTTTCTCTTCAAAAGTACTATAAATTTGGTATATGTATTCTATCACAATTTCCTGTGCTTTGAGACCAATGACAAGGGTATCTGAAGAACAGAGATATCAGATACATTTTGAATTACATTAACAAAACACATTAGACCAGATGCCATGCTAAGAATCAGAGTTCCGCTATCACCTCCTTTGGCAATATGTCTGAAGTTCAGCTTCTATCACAGTCCACTGAACAAATGCAAAATTACTTTCTGGACCAGTTCAATCTTCCTCATTTTATATCATGTCTAGTATAAGTCCAAAGAAAAGTAGTCAAAAACATTTTTTACATAACAATGCTTACAATGCTTCCACAGAACAGTTTTTACATTCTTAGAACCACAAGTCTTCTGTTCTGCCTAGCAACATTATAAAAGTAATATAAAACATAGTAAAAAAATATGAAAAATAAAATGAATAGCCTACTCCTTGAAAAAAGAAAGGCACAGACTATCTCACCTCTGGAGTGACATCTCGTGGTGCAAACCCTGTTCCTCCAGTTGTTAATATCAAATTAAGTTCCTTTTCATCACACCAATCTATCAGGGTTTCCTGAAAGAAAACAATAGTATTGTCACATGCAGAAGAACTTACCTGCCCACTCAAAACATCCACATACTCAAATACTTTATATACCAGTGAAGAAACACACATTTATCTCAGCAATCAACACGAAATTCTGAAGCACAATTCATGGAACATATTTACTATTGATCAAAACACATTGCTATTTCTGTATTTATTTTATGCAGTATAAAAATAAAGGAAGCATCAAATTTTTAAAATAAATGAAGAAAAAAATGAAACATAGGAAATATCAGAAATTAAGAGCTTATAAAAAAGTCTAATGTTGGATATTTGATAAAATCTCAGAGGGAAAAACAGAGCATTCTAATAAAGATTATAAATGGACTCTGGTTTTTTGATTTTTCCATTTTTCTCTGTTTAAGTCTGTCCAGATCTAATAGTCTGGGATAACTTTATCTTTCTTTCCACATATCTGCAATGGTTTGTGAAATAAGTTTGGTGAGAAGGTTGGATATTGTTCGATCAAGATTTTGTTTTTATAACTATATAATAACCAGACACTTGGAGGTATGAAGAGGATAGGTAATATAATAGTGCTAATATCCTGATCTTTCTGAGCAGTGGTTCAACCAACTGTGTCTAAGGTTTAAAAAGAGAGTAGGGGTGCCTGGGTGGCTCAGTCGGTTAAGTGTCCAACTTTGGGCCCAGGTCACAATCTGACAGTTTGTGGGTTCAAGCCCTGCGTTGGGCTCTGTGCTGGCAGCGAAGAGCCTGGAGCCTACTTTGGATTCTATGTCTCCCCCCTTCCCTGTCCCTCCCCTGCTCACTCTCTCTCTCTCAAAATAAACATTAAAAAAGTTAAAAAAAAATAAAAAAGGGTAAAAAATAGGACTGTAACTTATTAATAATTTTCCTTATTTTTAAACGTTAGAGAAAGATCTCTGTTTAGCATGTAGTATCTCTTATGCTCTGACATTCACTTTTTTTTCTATTTAAACGAAATAAAATGCCTCTGTATTAGCTTGAGAGTACTCTCCTGGTTTTGCATAGCTATTTCTTTCACTTCCAGTTAAACATCTATCCATTCTTCTATCTATAACATGGGCATAGATAGATGAAATGTTTTACAACTTTAATAATGGTTATTTCTGGATAGATGTGAAGTACATTTTAATTCCTTTTTATTTTCTTTTGAATTTTTGAATTCTTTAAAATCTGTATGTATTATTCAAAAATAAAAGGATTTTACAAATTGAACTTTCTGGTATTTGTTCTTTATTTAGATAGCCAGCACATTAATATCTCATTTTTCCCTCAATTTTCAGCCAGCTCAGAAATAAATTTTATACTCAACAACTATGCATATTCTATACTGTGGTAGGTTAAATATAACCACATATTCTTTATAAATCCTCCTGTCAAGAGGTAGAGTCTATTTTCACCAATTCTGCATCTGGGCCAGACTTGTACCTCTGATTAGGGCAGAAATTATGGTATATGAGTTCTGAAGGTTAGGTCTCAAAAGGCCTCAACTCCTCTACCTTCACTCTTTTGGTAAATTTCTCTTACCATGAAAGGAAGTCCAGTCTAAATAATGGAATGAGGAGAAAACATGTAGAGAGAAAGCTTAGCAGAATAGAAAGCACCAAGGGCCCAGACACCCGAGTGAGGCCATCTGAGTGAGACACCTAAGTGAGCCTCAGTTGAGTCGACCAATTATTTCAGCCACATGAATGACCCCCAAGTAAGACCAGAAAAAGATACACTCAGCTAAGCCCAGCAAACCCACAGATTTGTGAGAAATAATAAATCATTGTTGTAAGACACAAAGTCTTGTGGTGGTTTCAATGGAACAATACAGTACTTATAAAATTACTTTCCTAGTTAGCATCTTTGCATCCTCCTGCTGTTTTCAATTTATATTTTATTGTATTTTATTAGTCATAAGTCTACACAACCTTTACAAGAATCTTCAAAACAGCTTTGAAAGTAAACCTGATGTGAATTAGGTTTAAATAAATTGCCATGAAGACTCAATTTTAACCATTCAGTTTAAGAAACATACCAATGCCTAGTATGTGCCAGGAAAATGTGAGAATGAAAAAAAATGTAAGACAAATGGCCTTGATGTCAAAGATCTTAGAGGTATGAACAAATTAATACGGCACATCAACATATCATGGTTAGTGCTATGAAAGAGGTATGATCATCTTAAGAAAACTGTTTTACAGATATTACAGGTATTTATGAATATATAACATTTTCTTTACCGTGACCAGAATGAAAACCATCATTACAGAGATTTTAAGCAATATTTTTCTCTTGCCCAAGACTAAAGAACCCCCAAAAGAGAAAAATGGGACAGTAATACAGCCACCATTCAGACATCTACCTAGAGTCTCATACTCATCTATTACAATAGATATTTTTTCTTTTCTCTACATTTATTGATGGAAACATGAATCACTGAATTAAGTAGACCTCACCAATATAAAACCATTTGAGAAATGTCATATTTTCTTTGGTTTATTAAAGAATCTGATATAACCACCTAAGAAATTCCTATCAGTCACGAGGAGCTGAAAAACGCTTTAAACGAAATGCATAACAAAATGGAAACCACCACGGCTCGGATTGAAGAGGCAGAGGAGAGAATAGGTGAACTAGAAGATAAAGTTATGGAAAAAGAGGAAGCTGAGAAAAAGAGGGATAAAAAAATCCAGGAATATGAGGGGAAAATTAGAGAACTAAGTGATACACTAAAAAGAAATAATATACGCATCATTGGTATCCCAGAGGAGGAAGAGAGAGGGAAAGGTGCTGAAGGGGTACTTGAAGAAAT